CCGTATTTTCACTTGGCTTCTCGTCACCCTTTCCGACGCCGACAGATCCTTTGTCAGTTTCGGTGGTTTACGTGTGGGTCTTGCACCATCTTTTATGCTGTTCTCAGCTGGCCCGTGTCCTACACACGCAGAGGAGGACGGGCATGCAGTCACATCTTCACGGGAAGAGGAAGATCCACCGATGGACTGGACAGCACATTTTGGAGGACGACCACGGCGAGGACGACAATCGCGCGCATCAAGCGGAATACAACTTAACGGCACATGTTGACGAATGCGTGCGCCCAGGTGCTGAAGGGTTCTACCTACATACCGATCTTCACATTGTCGGCATTGAAAGAAATAGATAAGGTTACTTTTACTAAGGGTAGGTAGAACATCCTTCTTCACACTGAACGCACGCACTGTCCCAAATATGACGTACAGCTTGACGCACGGATATGATGGACATACGATACCACGAACATCCTTCTCCACGCGCGCAGAACCGGTGCCAACCCAGGGTAAACGGAGCACCACTGGGCAACGGTCAGGTCCAAATTGGATAGGCTTGTCTGTCACCGGTTTTTCGTTGATTAGCTTGGCCAGAAATTCCTTTGGATAGCCGTTGTTCGTAAATATTGATGTCAGTCTGTCTAATTCGTCCTGCAATAGATGAGGGGAACATATTCTATGTGCACGATAAACTAGCGCCTTCACAAGATGTCTCTTCGATTTCGTTGGAGTATAGCTCCCCCACGGAATGTAGAGGCCGGTGAACGTTGGCTTCCTATAGATAGTGGTGTCCAAACTCTTAGTGTTAATATTCCGTGATATTTGTACATCCAAGAAGGATAAGCTGCCGTTTTGTTCCGCTTCCGACGTGAATCTCAACGCCGGGTGGAGACTATTCAGAGTTAGTAGAAAAGTCCCACAGACATCCTCATCGTGACAGTACACATCGTCTACAAAACGACAGTACATAGAGGGCCACAATGATGGACTAATGGACGCTTCACAGAACCCTACAAAGATATTAGCCAATACAGGACCAAGCGGCGAGCCCATGGCAACGCCATCTATTTGTTTATACATAACGTTGCCAAATGAAAACTCAACGCCCGACGTAACCATTAACATGAGTTTCACAAACTCCGTTTCGTTCAAAGACGGCGGAGTAATGGACTTATTGTGGTACAGTGTTGTTGCGCAGATGTCAATGGTCTCCCGTAGTGGCACGTTAGTAAATAAGCTCACCACGTCATACGAGCACATGAATCCGCTCGATTCAAAGCTTGCGTCCTTTAGCTTTTCTACAAACTCGAAAGTATTTTTGACGCAATGGCTATTGTAGAGGTTGAGTACCGGTTGTAGCATGGCACATAGCCACTTGGATGTTTTAAATTGCGGTGACCCAGACATGCTGAGTATTGGTCGTAAGGGAATGTTCTTCTTGTGAATTTTTGGGAGCCCGTACATTCGTGGTCGTGTTGATCCCGTCGGCGCCAGATGGTCGTACTCATAATCAGAAATTTGATGTGTTTTTGAAAGAGACAATAGGTATTTGCTAAGTTTAGTGTCGATGTTTTCTGTATGGTCATATACATCGCACGGTCCGAGTCTGCAGAATTTTGTCTTATCCTCTAGTATGACCATCATCTTGGTTTGGTAGTCCTCCCTTGACATAATAACCGTTGCCCGACCCTTGTCCGCACACACGTAAACCACCGAAACTGACAAAGGATCTGTCGGCGTCGGAAAGGGTGACGAGAAGCCAAGTGAAAATACGGACTGATGAGGACGAACGTACAACGACAACGGAAGTGACAACAACAGTCAATATTCGAAAACGTGGTAGACCGCGAAAACTAACCTCAATATCGGACACCGGACAAGTTGGAGTAAGAAGCTCAATAGAAATCCGCAATGGAGGAGACGTAACGGAAAGGACACCGGGTATCGCGCACCCAACGGTTAGTGTCAAGAAACGTGGAAGGCCGCGGAAACGCGAAGAGACAGATAGTGGTGATGCCACGAAGAGGCGAGATGACGGGACATTGGAGGAGACAACACCCAATGGAGCTAAGAATCGCACTTCGTCAATCAAGCAACATCTGTCAGCCCGTACCAATTGTCGTGAGTTGTACAGTGATAATGTTTTCTCAATATTGTCACGTGGTAGATGTGCGTTACATTTGGCTGTGTTAGAAGCTTTGTATATCCGTAAGTTAGATCCTGAACTTTGCGTACAGAAAGAAAATGTGTTGTCGCTACAATTGTTTGGTGTTACTCCTCGTCGAGGTGGTAACAATGTAACTTAATTTGCTCACTATGTTGTTGTCACTATTATTATTTTCCTTCGGGTTTTGTGTCGTGCTAAACTTGATAATTTTCCACCTTGTCACGAGTGTTGTTATCTAATTATCTTTACGCTATATAAGTTTTAGTCTTTCCAGCTTGAGCCATTCCCTGTATAATCCTTGATGAGAAGGGACCGAAAACGTTCGGATACTTATGACAAGTGCCTTATTATGACTGGATGTGTGTTTGCGTGGATATTTGCGACCCATAACTTACCTTCGTTTTAAAGTATTATCCGCCTCCGACCTCTTTAAAAAAATTATTATTATTATTATTATTATTCTCAATTCATGGATGACATGGTGTCAACCAATATTATGAATGAGGGCTACCAGCCATGGAATAAAAGAACAAGAAGGCAAAAATGCACACGCAAAATATGGCAAGTTAAATGAAAAAAAAAGTGTTTCGATATATTCCGTTCAGTAGTACGTCATGCTCAATTGTAAGTCGCAACTCCTTTCTTTGCCCTTGAATTTTAGCGTGAAAAGGTGTTACTTATATCCTCGGCAATACGATGTGCATGCAAGTATCGGGGGCGTCGCACACGGTACGGTCACTACGGTATTGACCGTACCACTATTTGCCCAAAGTACCCCGTAAATCAATAAAATGCACTGATTTGGGCTCTAAATTTCCAAACTTTTCGGCTCAGCATCCTTCCCCCCACGAGTAAATTGTACTTCAGATGGCTAACTGTACCACACTAAAATGCCTTCCGACGTTGCCCCTGAAGTAGGCAGTAGAAAGGGTAAACACATCCTGTGAATGGCTCACAACACAGGCACATTCACACCTGGACGTTGACGGGAGGGGGGGGGGGGGCGGGTGGGGGATGCCCACTCTCCTTTTGCTTGGTGGATTCTTTCTTGGACAGTGTTTCTTTGTGAAGTGAAATTTTGCGGTTTTTTCTTTCCTGTTCGTTTTCAGTTGTTGTCACTGTGGCTGTCAGGTTGTTGTTGCAGTACAGCAGTCGTCCGTTCTATTCCAATGTGTCATCTGTTTTGCCAGTTCTGCTAGCTGATTCTCTTTATTTGCCACTGCCCTTCATAGTGCCCATGCTTGGGTGGAGGGCGGCGTGACCCGTTTAGGGCCCGGTCACACATGCACTGGGATTCGCTTCGGCGACGAGGTTCGGCGGCAGCAAGCCTGGTGTCGCTCCAGCGAAACCACGTGTGTATGGTCACACAGACAAACAGGGCACAACTCCTACTTTGGCGGAAAATGAGACTGTGGTGCATACGGTACGGAGAATAGACGAGGTCAATGACTATCTTGCACGCATTTTTGTTGCATGGACATCATACGCATACAAATTTCTCGTAGCAAGTCCATATACAGCAGACTGTGGTGTTTTCCGCTGAAGTGAATCCGCAGAAGCGACAGTCTCGCTTCGAAAATTTTGGAGGAAGCGGATTGGAGTTTCCGCTGAAGCGGAAGTTCCGCTTTTCGCCGTTGCCATGCCATTTTTCGCTCCTGCGACCTCGCTTCAGCGTATACGCTACTTTCGAGTGCATGTGTGACCGGGCCCTTAGGGTAGCTGTATCATAGTAGTTGTAGGACGTGTGTGTACGTGTGTGTACATGTGTGTGGGTGGGGTGGGGTGTGGACTTACACTGCTCAGCTGTGGTGCCAGTTAACTCATACGTATGCTAGACACAAAAAGAAGAATTTCAGACATAACAGACAAGCCCTACTTAGCAACCAGCGATCCCCCAACCTGGTTTTTATCCAGGTCTTTATTTCCCATAAATCTGCAGCCTCAGGCTTTATTATACTACAGTCCATTTCAAAAATCTAGATGCATGGCATTTCGAAATATTTCAAATCAGGCTGGAGTATTTGCGGAATATTGCTCTGGTTCTTCCCCCAATTATTCTCATAAAATTGTTGAAGCGATCGGAAAATAAAAGCCCAATTTCGAAATTTGTATGCACAAAGCGATTACAGATTACAGATGCTGGCCTAACGGGTTTTTGAAATCACGCATCTATGTTTTTGAAATCACGCGTCTATGTTTTTGAAATCACGCGTCTATGTTTTTGAAATCACGCGTCTATGTTTCTGAAATCACGCGTCTATGTTTTTGAAATCACGCGTCTATGTTTTTGAAATCACGCGTCTATGTTTTTGAAATCACGCGTCTATGTTTTTGAAATCACGCGTCTATGTTTTTGAAATCACGCGTCTATGTTTTTGAAATCACGCGTCTATGTTTTTGAAATCACGCGTCTATGTTTTTGAAATCACGCGTCTATGTTTTTGAAATCACGCGTCTATGTTTTTGAAATCACGCGTCTATGTTTTTGAAATCACGCGTCTATGTTTTTGAAATCACGCGTCTATGTTTTTGAAATCACGCGTCTATGTTTTTGAAATCACGCGTATATGTTTTTGAAATCACGCGTCTATGTTTTTGAAATCACGCGTCTATGTTTTTGAAATCACGCGTCTATGTTTTTGAAATCACGCGTCTATGTTTTTGAAATCACGCGTCTATGTTTTTGAAATCACGCGTCTATGTTTTTGAAATCACGCGTCTATGTTTTTGAAATCACGCGTCTATGTTTTTGAAATCACGCGTCTATGTTTTTGAAATCACGCGTCTATGTTTTTGAAATCACGCGTCTATGTTTTTGAAATCACGCGTCTATGTTTTTGAAATCACGCGTCTATGTTTTTGAAATCACGCGTCTATGTTTTTGAAATCAAGCGTCTATGTTTTTGAAATCACGCGTCTATGTTTTTGAAATCACGCGTCTATGTTTTTGAAATCACGCGTCTATGTTTTTGAAATCACGCGTCTATGTTTTTGAAATCACGCGTCTATGTTCGTGAAACGCGCTGTAGTATACATATTACCTCTTGCCTACAATTCAGCCCGGCCATTTATTGCAATGAATTTTCTCAAATCAACCATCCCGACCACTCGTAGTAGTATCAAGAGTATAAAACCCCCCAAAAGTGTGCAACTCCTGATACCCTTCCTATGGGGTTCGCCGACGGCGAAAACTCACATCGCGTGGTGCAGTGTCGCAGTTGTACGCTTCCAGCCCGTTTTAGCGAGCAGTGGAGTAATAATAAAGCACTCCCTGGCAGAAACTCACTGAGCGTATGCAACTCGCCAGCATGATCATGACAGATTTTCGGATTGCGAGCACGCTATCCTTAGTAGTACGTAGTAAAAAACGTACCTGAGACACGTGGTGTGAGTTTTCGCCGTCGGAGATCCCATGTGCAGAGTTGCACACTCTTGGGGGCTTATATACTCTTGCTACTACAGTGCTGGCAACTGAAATGTGATAGCGCTTCGCATGGCATGCGGCGAGTCATAGGGAGTTCTGAGTGATAACGGTTGAACGCAAATGTTTTTAAACATCCAGTAACAAAGTGCGGATATTGTCAGCAACTAAGATGCCCGTATCGATAGTCAACCTGGGAAAGAAAATCATCGCCAGTTTGCCAGTAAACCCATTATACTAATTTTGTCAGTGTTTGTTATTCAGAGCAACAGGGGCAATCAACGCTTGTTTGTTGCTACGTTTCATGCTTTCGCAATCTTCAGGAAAAATGAGGATGAGGTACCGACCATGCTGGTATATATGCCAGGAGAGGGTGGGTCTCAGTGTAGCGCTGTATGAGAAGCTGTGAGTGAATGTGGGGGCTGTATAGGTTTCAGGGCTAGCAGTGTTATTATAATAATAATCCTTGGCTCACTATCTGAGCTTAAAGGGGAAGTTAAGGCAAAAATCTAAATTTTCACCAGTTGTAGTCTTCGGGGTGCTGAGTCGAATGGTCTTGGTCCGAGGAAGCTGAGACGCTCCCTTCCTACTTGAATCCCAATCGAACTCGCGCACTTCCACCGAAACTGGGTGACTGCGCCCTACTAGATGGGGATTTGTATGCAAAATGTCACTAAAGGCGCCATTTCGTTCTTATAAAAGCATGGATGACCGCGATTGGCCCACATGTTGTAGTCTTTAGGACGCTGAGTCGATTGGTTTTGGTCCGAAAAGGCTTTGATGCAGCGTTCCTCTTTTATTCTCAATCGAACATGGTTGAACAAGCGGTCACGTGCTCCTGGGTACGCCAGTCAGCTGGTCACCGTGCCTGCAGGGTACAACTTACTAGCCTGTTTGACCTTTTTTAGGTGCAGTCCTGTCACTCGAGTTGAACTCGAGTTGAACCTTGGTGTGAAAGTTGTCGCCTGCTGGCGTGGTGACCAGGTGATTTGGGCACCCAGGAGCACGTGACGGCTTGTTCAACCATGTTCGATTGGGAATAAAGGAGGAACGCTGCATCGCAGCCTTTTCAGACCAAAACCAGTCTACTCAGCGTCCAAAAGACTACAACATGCGGGCCAATTGCGGTCATCCGTGCTTTTATAAGAACGAAATGGCGCCTTTACTGTTTTAGTGACATTTTGCATACAAATCCCCATCTAGTAGGGCGCAGTCACCCAGTTTCGGTGGAAGTGCGCGAGTTCGATTGGGATTCAAGTAGGAAGGGAGCGTCTCAGCTTTCTCGGACCAAGACCATTCGACTCAGCACCCCGAAGACTACAACTGGTGAAATTTTAATTTTTGCCTTAACTTCCCCTTTAACCCTTTACCGGCAGCCCCATACTTGAATGCGTCGTAAACGACGCATTCGACATGCATACTAAAACCATGCCTGGTATGACAGGAAGCATCAGCCCACGGGGATTTCTCGTGGACCTCACACAGCCTAGGTATGATCCTATCCGTAGCTGAAGAGATCTACGCGTGTCCCATTTGATTTCATTGAGAACTGCGTGATCGAAAATTTACGGAAATACACGCGCGCCGACAATGCCGTCTGCCTCCGTCAAAACGTCGTCAGGTGCATTTCCTCTTGCGCAGTGAGTTCCTTTCGTCCTCAGATGACTTCTCCGACGAGGACCTAGCAGACCTTTGCTCTGGGACCCACGACAGATAGATAAATACTTCGTTCCAGCCGCCGATGCAAGCGAATTTCAAATTGCGGAGCGGAGAGCACGCCAAGTAAATTCTCACGCAAATATCGGGAGCTCCAGCCGCTGAAGACGATGTCGTCGTGATGTAACTGGAAGAATCTGATGGTGCTTATGGTGTGGAAGCCATGGAGAGTGATCCCCGTGTCGACAGTCTTCCAGAGACGGAATTTTAGGCCATCGACTTTCTACGTACCTGAGTGACGGCAGCGCTGCGCGACTTGCGCACGACCTTACGGAGCCATCGGACAGCGATGTTGGGGCGATGCTGCTCTCAATTGCGAGCGAGGCACGGCCACTGAAGTCTGTGATGGCTATGGCGTTCGTTTCCGCTCTGAAGTCGACTTGTTTTGGCAGTTTCATGTCAATGTCGGAATCTGACGATTTGCATTGTGTACAATTTCCGTGTTTAGACGTATAGGTGCCAATTTAGTAGCGTATGTGTGTGGTATGTGAAAATAATTTTTTACATCGTCAAGAAGTAGTACCAGACTTCCAAGAAAACATAACTTGCACATACAAAATGTGCCCTCGTTGTGAGTTATTGGCATCCTTCTCAATGTTATGGATTTCATATACAAAATGCACTTGCCGGCAAAGGGTTAACATCACCCTTGAAATGGCATATCCCTGACTTCTCAGTAACCTCAACATCATGGAGAATGCCTGACCTAAGTCTAACTCATACTCATAAGCTGCACATGTGGGTTCTCTTATATTTTCTTTCAAAAATTGTTTCGTCACTGTACATCGGGATCCCGGTACACTTGGCATGAGTGGACGTCATGCACATCCGCTGGACGCAAATATTTTGACATTTCCTACTGTGCGGATGACACTCAAACACTCACCCGGATCAGGTTCAAGCTTTCACCGGGCCTCTTGCGCACCCAGGATTCGTAGCGCTCTCCTTTGGCGTAGAGCGACCAGCCATCCGATGCGTCCTTGTTGGCCTCCAAGACGAACGCCTGCTCAAAGTCGCTGTCCGTGATAGGATTTTCGTCGGCCATTGCCATGATTGCGGACTAGAAGAAATAGAATGCGAGCGGGTTGATGGGTTGACAACGGGCAAGGAAAAACAACTGGACGACACGCGCATAGACGGTTTGTGCACTTCCGTCTTCGTATTTTGATGCGCAACGGTGCTGCCGTAAAGGCAGAAAGCAACCTAAAACTCAAACATACAAACTGTTGAAACAGACACGCCCGTGCCAGAAACACGTACATGTACATGTACTCGGAACCACACTACAATGACGACTGACACAGTCACTGAGACTGAGAGCGCGCGAGAGCGAGAACAAAAATAGTCCTGTTCATGTGCTGTTACTAATTTTTGTTTTGCTCGCAGAGCTAGAGTGCGAGTACCAGTAATGGCAGTATGTACTGTACTGTAGATCTACTAGTAGAAGTCAAGTGGTCATTGATTGTCAGTGCTGGACAAGCACTGCAATGGCACTTGCATCGGGTGCTCCTGCACCATGGTACCAAGGAGGGTCGCACATGTAATGAATTATTACAGCACTGGATGTCAAGCACCGGCGAAGACACTGGGAATACAAGATTTAACAACAAAAATGGTAACAATTTACCATCAAGATCAAAGGAGGAGTCAACGAACAGACTCTAATAATAAGCCACATGAAGCGAGCCTGCAGGGACCGATCGGCGTTGATGAGGAGAATGACAAGGAAGATGACACTGAGGACGAGTTGGAAGGACGAGGTTGCGGTTGTTGGAGACGAGGAATCAGATGGTGATTGACTTTGTGATCTCTAAAATAATTAATTAAGAAGTCTGCTGTCTTTGTTGTCTCACCCTAAGTGTATGCAGGTTTATGATGATTTTAGTTTTTCTGTTCTGTGTCGTGCATGGTATGCTAGTCAGCTGAAAGTGCTTGAGGCTGTTTGTATTCGTTTCTACAAGCATGATCTTTGTAAGCAGAAGAAACATGTACAATGTAGTTGCGGAGATTGTTTTCGTAGGTGTACAGCATGATTGTTTGTCTAACTACACAGTTCTAGCGTTGCAATTAGTTTTTCACCCCTTTTGCACCCAGTTCTCACCTTCCTTCATTCTATTTTAGCACTTTATTTTGTTCTTGTAACGCATTATTGAATGTGTTACAACCAGCAAGGGGTTGATTCTCCGAACGATGGCACACCAGCAAAGGTCCAGCTCGAAAAAAGTAGATTTCTTAAAAATAGTTTCAATAGGAAAGCCCTACAGATGTTGCCGTGTTGTTGCAGGGAACCCTAAGCGTTCTTTACAGAGCGAAACAAGCGGATAGATGCTCAACGTGACGACACGATACAGGAAGAGAAGTCCACTTATCAGCGCCAAGGAAAGAAATAGAGAACATGCCATCTCTACTTTTAACAAAATCCATCACATGGAACATGATACGTCCCTGGTATGGATCAATGTCACGTGCACAGTTGACCATTGATTGTCCCTGCTTCCATTCCCTTCGTAACTCATACATACATGTACATGTATAGGGGTTAGGTTTGAAGTAAAAAAAAGAGTTACAAATACTTCCAATGGCTTCTGTGCTTCACGGGTCAGTTTGCTTTTCTCCCATACATATTTATTTTTAGTAACTCCCTTGTGACGTTCCCAATGTGTTGTGAGGACTGCAGCATCCGTTCTTTTCATTTGAAACATCGCTTTTTAATGATTGTCTCAGCGTATTGTATTGTATTTTATTATTTTACTTGGGCATTCCCAACAGACCCTAAGGTCTTCTTACAGGGTGCCCAAGATGAATGAAATTGTTTAGTTCCTGGCGAAATGAATTGGGGATATGATTTGTGCGAAGCGTCGACCATTTTGTGTCTTCGTTTTGCCCTCGTGGGAAACATAGATGCAGTGTCCTGAAATTTTAGGATCGCAATAAACCAAATCAGCTGAAGCGTCATTAATTTTCACGAAGGCTTTATTGAGACAACACGAACAAATTCTAGAGAAAGTGGTGATGGGCAAAGAAATAGCTATGATGGAAATGTAACGTGAGGAACAATAATGGGAACGATGAATCATAATTAAAAGATGCATCGAGCTAGCTTTTCTGCAATTTTCAATTAGGTTGGAGTCACAAGGGTTAACAGAATCGGCCCAGAATTGACAGAGTTGCCATGGTTTGAGCACATGTGATCCATCCAAAAGTCAGTATGCATGCGTTGCGTACTCAGACCGTCCATTTACACGTACGGCCTCGGTGCTGAAAAGGTTACATGCTGCAGAAAAAAGCGGTTCAGAACTGGTGCCTACAGGAGTACAGTGCAGGCAACTTAAATCCGACCCTCTGCGCGGTGCGCTCACATCGCAAAGACCCGACACCGGATGGTAAAACTTCGAAACAGAGACCGCTAGAATGTGAGCCCACAGCTCAGGTGATCGGATTTCAGTTGCCAGCACTGTACAATAGCCAGTTACACGGGACGTGAATTCAGACAGGGAAGAAGCCGTGATCTTTAGAAAATAATAAAGAGGAGACGAGAGACCGTCCTCCTTCTCCACACGATTGAAGAAAAGCACACAAGACACTAGTGACTACAGATCTACATACTGGAGCAGTGGTTCAGCTTGGCAACACGACGAGCGGAATGATTGCAGGTCCTTCTCTGGTGATTGAAGCCGCTCGTCAATCCTCGTTCTCAGGACGACTTGGCTGCAGCCAGTTCTGGCTTGTATGCATGTGTTACAAAGTCCTGAAGGCGTTTGAGGAACGCTGGGGGAGTGCTGGCGATCTTAGAGTTGATGACACTGGCCGGCATGCTAATCTTGTAATCGGATTGGAGAATATAGCACATGGTAGCTGCAATTTCGTCGCCTTCCGCATCACGGAAGGTGATGCTCAAACACAGCGTGTCAGCTCTACAAATGAACAAAATAGTGAGGTGCGTGTGTGTGTGTGAGTGCGCGTGTGCATGGTGTATGTGTGTGTGTGCGTGCGTGTGTGTGTGTGTGTATGTGTGTGTGTGCGTGCATGTGCGTGCGTGTGTATGCACGTATGGTCGTGTACGTGTGCGTGATGGACAGACCGACAGGTAAACAGACAGATAGAATGTACTTGCCAATGGACACAACAAACAAACAAACAGATCATGAGCATGCAATCTTCGAACACAGAGATCTAGGAAGAGAATAAGATCATGCAAGATATACAGCATTCCTTCACTAGTGGGACCATTGTTATTAGGCTAGGGCCTGTTTTGGACTTGCCACTCTAAATAAAGAATACAAGCAAACAACAAACCCAGCAAGGCATACGGATGGTGCATGTACACATAATAATAGTATTCTTATCTTGTGCTGACAGTGTCGATCTGCATTGTGCTTGCAAGAGAAAGCAAAATGCACAACTACGTCCGCCCCCCCCCCCCCCACCCCACCCCGCACACGCACATGCAGACACACACACACACACACAGACACACGCACGCACACATACGCATACACCCACCCACACACAAACACAGACACACGCAATTGCGTCCCCTCCCCGCACACACACGCACGCACACACACATACACACATACACAAACACACACACGCATACACACACACACGCACCGGGCAGTAAGTCACATTAGGTTTGTTACCTCACAGCCCCGGACACCAGCGGGACCAGCTCTGTCTCGATCTGCTTGTTGATCACGCAGATCTCCGCGGCAGTTGTGCGACGTGTGTGAGCAACGACGAAATCCCGATCGGATACAAAGGGAGCATTCATGGGACAGCGCCTGGGAAGGAACAGAGTCAGGAAGACACCGGAAACCTTGGTTGAATTTCATAACGGTCCATGGTCACCATGGTCACCATGGTCACTATGGTCACTGAGTGCGTTCGATTATGCACGCGAATCGATTCACGAATCGATTCATGAATCGATTCGCGCTATTCACATCATCCCATGTGAATAGAGTGAATGGTTCCGAATCGATTCCAGGGCTCATGACATGAAATCGAACGACTTGAATGCATGCGAATGGATTCATGAATCGATTCAAGTGTGTAATCGAACGCACTCACTATGGTCACTATGGTCACTATGGTTACTTTATTAGACACCACTTCCCGCCCTCGCACCCGGCCAGCTCGTCCAAATTCCAGCCTGATTGCCCGTTTTCCGTTTTCGTGTAAACTGTTCAAAACGATTTGCCGTTCTCGTGTAAATGATTTGAAAAATTAATGATTCGAGCGCGAGGGCGGCGCGTTTTAGCTCCGTTCCGTTTCGTTTCGTCTCCGTGTAAACGCAGCCTTAAAAAAACTGTACTGATGAGCCGTAGATAGCCGCAACAGCTAGCTGTCAACAGCATTGTGTCATGCAAGTTGGAATTTCTCACTCACGTGTACAATATCTTGTGGTCCCCGAAGTCCTTGACGAAGCGATATTCCTTGAATGAGTTGTCAAAGCGAGTGCGTTGATCTGGCTCGACCATCAGGTCCAATACTGGAGCAGCAGAGACCAAGGGGTAGATGCATACGACTAACCGCGGAAATGTGCGAATACTTGTAGACACTCACTCTATGTCTGTGTGTCTGTCTGTCTGTCCGTCCATCCGTCTGTCTGTCTGTCTCAATCGGTCTCTCTCTCTCTCTCTCTCTCTCTCTCTCTCTCTCTCTCTCTCTCTGTTTCTCTCTTTTTCTCTCTCTCTCTGTGTCAATCTATCTGTGGCTGTGTGTGTGTGCCTGTCTGTGTGTCTCTGTGTCTGTCTGTCTGCCTGTCTGTCGTTCTCTCTGCTTGTCCCTATGCCTCTCTCTTTCTTTCTCCCTCTCTCGCCCGTTCTCTCTCTCTTTCTCTCTCTCTCTCTCTCTCTCTCTCTCTCTTTCTCTCTCTCTCTCTCTCTCTCTCTCTCTCTCTCTCTCTCTCTCCGGATAACCGGCTGAAAGTAACCATAATTATACTGAATCATCATGAACCCTTAATCATACGGTATATACAGCACACTTACACTGTTCCTTTGTAACACCTTTGATGTGGTAGTACGTCTGAAGAAAACATTCGAATAACACACAAGCAATGCCATTATGCCGGGGTAACGCTCCGGACGTTACATGTTGCGGATTGTTGTTAGACATCTGCCAGGATGCAAGTCTCCTCAAGACCAGACCATGCAAGGGTCAGGAGGGTTTCTTCTCTCGCTGATCTGAGGATTTATCAATGTTTACAGAGCTTCCGTATATGGGGTGAACGAGGAGGGGCAGAGAGAAAGTTTATGTGTGTGTGGGCTCGTGTGTATGCGTATGCGTGTGTCTGTATGTTTGTGTGCGCGCGAGTGTGTGCGTGTGTGTAGAGAGGAATGGAGACAGACAGACAGATAGACAAACAGAATAGCAAAGGGAGAAAGAGAGAGAGAGATAGAGAGTACAAACAAACTGCAGTGCCACTGTTCAGCTGAGGGACCACATACTTTCATCATGTTAATCTTTTCGTTGTCTCTTCTGCGCACCCACGTCTCAAACCCATCACCGCTGGCATGATGCGACCAGCCATCCGCGGCCTCCTTGTTCGCCTCCAACCTCAGCAGCTCATCGAAATCGCTGTCCTGTACGGGGTTCACGCCGGCCATAGTGAACTGGGCAAAGAGCGGCAAAGAAGTAACGCATGCCCGGAAGGAAGATCACCTTGTTCGAAATATGGAAATCCCGTAGCACGTCCTCTGATAAGCCATATTCTATCCTTAATTAGTAAGTGAATTTCCCGAAACACAGTGTATTGAGCAGGAAGTGGGTGTTCCGCGCAGTAGCAAGCACCCTCATCTACCAATAGTCATACTGTATAAGTACAAATTTTAGTTCACGAAATCTTTCGTTAGATCACTCCATCAGCAGGTTCGTTACGTGCTAAATTTCGTTTCGGTCGAGGTCTATCACCCCGAACGTTCAGAAAAATACTTTACTTTGGTGCAAGCTTTAGTTATTCAGTGCCCCCTAACGAATGTAGGGAAAGTTCATTCCACACGAAACTTTGTACTTGTACAGTACTGGCCAAGTTGCTTCTGAACGGTTTTATTCACAACACCATGAAGTAAGAGTCAAAGCAAAAAGTCAACCCGATTTCGGAAATAAATAGAAAACTCAATTGAAATATAAAATTGAACGCAAAAGCTTCACAAGAAATCGTTACCTAGTACCTAATAAGAATGCCTACCGGCCTGCAAAATGCCCAAGTTGCTAGTTCTAGGTTCAAAATACAGACTCACGGGATTACCGGTATGTCACAGTCAGGGACTACTTACTAAACTGCTTACCTGCGGACAAGTACTGGTATCTTTGATGTCGCTAGTCGAGGGAAACCGTCAGGCGGAAACTTCAACGGCGATAGGGCGTCACCACCAGTGTCTATGTTCCCCACTCCCTGCCACCGCTGCGACGCTTGTGAACTATCAACGCACTGCTTATTTTCCAAGCCAGTGTAACGTCCTTTCAACGAACAAGCTCCGTAATTATGAAATCTATCCTGCAGATCTATCGGACAGATCCCAAGCCCCGGACACGTTGAACTCTGCCTCAGGCTTCCTGTTTGTGTCAGTGTGCGTATTGGTACGCGCGTAGCCTGAATGTATGTCGAATCGCCTGCAGCGGAGTACTGTCTTCGCTAATGAGTAATGTACATACCGAGGTTGCAAGTGCTGCAGCTGCTCTTTGTGCTGCTCCTGTGTGACGGGTGCGGATCGATCACAGACCGACAATAACGTTTAGAGAGTACAAGTACGGTGATCTCCGACAATGAGGGAAATAATACCGGCAAGCAGTTTTAAATTAATTATTCTTCCACACTTCTCATAGTAGAAAGGAAAAGGTCATAATATTATGGATAGGAGTGACTAGATACTATACTGTCAGAAGTGGCTCAGTGCTCTGTCAGTTTTGTGCCTAGTTGTTGCACTTTCTGACTGTATTACAACTGGAGTATCTTGTCACAGTGGTGGAGAGTTACTCTTAACTAGTATCCATAATTTATGTCCTTTTCCTTTCTACATTTATTATTGGCTCAACATCGGAGTTTCAAATTTCTCACAGTGTGTTTCCTTTTTTTTTGTGTTTTTGTATTGTATTTTATTATTTTAATAATCTACGTGGAGATAATAATTTTAATATAGCTATGAATAGGATGAAGGCCGCAGACATCACGCAACTACGTTACTTGTTCGACATGTATTTACTGTGTATTTTATAACAAAAATATTATTGAAAACCCATAATCGATTTTCTTGTTCCTATCATCAGTGGGAAAAATACGGAACTAAGGATACAACCACAGAAACTGAAGTTAAGTACTGTAAATAGAAATGTGTTAGAAATAACAACAAAATACAAGTGCAATAAAACCACTAGAGGAAACGCAAAAAGGTAACAAGATTACGTAACCAAAGGTGAGAAGGCGCTAAACGAAGTGTCAACCTACGAATACAACTTCAGTGCAACAACGTGCTCCTTCTGCTCACACAAAACAGGCTTATGAATACGTATACAGACTGCCTCAAGGACTTTCAACTGTTGGACATAACGCGCACGACACAGTACAGAAAAATGAGAGTCATCATACACACTAAGACAGTCAGGACGAGATAACAAGTGTAGATACACAGCTGACTTCTTACGATTATTATTATTTATTTTTTTTCTTATTTTGTTAGGGATTTCCCAACAGGCAATGTTGCCACGATCAACACATTCATCCGCCTCATCTCGCTCCTTCCCACCCGACTCCTCCCCGTCCATCTCATCATTCTCTTCCTCGTTCCGCTCGTCATCCTCACGATCATCATCACTACCATCCTCTGCCTCGTCCTCTGTCTCCTCACCAACCGTTTCGTCATCCAATTGCTCTTCTTGCTCTTCTATCCTCTGATCACCTGTCGCATCCTCCGTTTCTGTACAGACCACTTGTCTCCCATTTGCTAGCTGCTCGTCCCGTGAGCGGAGTTGTTCCTCCAGCTCCGCTTCACTCACTGACTCATGATCCTGCTCGACCTTCTTTCTGTTGGTATTGTCCACAACGCGCGGTCCTTGGCCGTTTCTGGCATAAATATCTGAGGAGTAGTTTGCTGTTGCCCTCCGAGGTCTCTGGATTAATGTGGGAGCCGTGGCAATTCGTGTGAGAGTTGGTGATGCCAGCGCGGGTGTAGGTGGGTCCACTGCAGCCCCCGCCACAAGAAGAGCCGGTGGCGGTTCTGGTGGTGGCAAGGGCAACGGTGGTGCTGCTGGAGTTGGTAACTTGGGCAGCCTAGCCCTCTCACACGGTACCGCATTTTGTGTTGGCTCAGTCTGTACCACTGGCACAGGGGGTGAGTTCTTGCGCGGTCGGCCACGCTTCGGCCGCTTGGATTTAGCTGCATCCGGCAGAATATGCAGTGGTACATGCTGTTTGATACGTGCGGTCAGGTGTTGAAGGGTCCTACCAACGTACCGGCTACCACAATTCCGGCACTCAAATTGGTAAACCAAATGGCTCAAAAGATAGGATGGTAGGACGTCCTTCCTCACCATGAACGCACGTATCGTCGTGAATACAGGAATGAAGTGTGCTGCGAAGTATGTTTTCAGCACTAGCGTCTTGACTGCGCGGCACATGGTCAGCGATGTGTTTCCTTTCCAAGGCAAACAAAGATAAATTGGGCATCGAGCAGGACCAACGCTCACTTCTTTCGATTTGTATGCTGTCTTCATTAGTTTGTCCTTGAGGCAGTCTGTATACGTATTCATAAGCCTGTTTTGTGTAAGCAGAAGGAGCACGTTGTTGCACTGAAGTTGTATTCGTAGGTTGACACTTCGTTTAGCGCCTTCTCGCCCTTGGTTACGTAATCTTGTTACCTTTTTGCGTTTCCTCTAGTGGTTTTATTGCACTTATATTTTGTTGTTATTTCTAACACATTTCTATTTACAGTACTCAACTTCAGTTTCTGTGGTTGTATCCTTAGTTCCGTATTTTTTTCCCACTGATGATAGGAACAAGAAAATCGATTATGGGTTTTCAATAATATTTTTGTTATAAAATACACAGTAAATACATGTCGAACAAGTAACGTAGTTGCGTGATGTCTGCGGCCTTCATCCTATTCTTAGCTATATTAAAATTTTATTATTTTACTTGGGCATTATCGACAGACCCTAAGGTCTTCCAGGGTGCCCTTGTTCTTTCTGTGAGACCGCCGGCATTCTCATTCTACATCAGTACTCCCTTCATTGAATTATGTTGTATTAGAGTTGGGTTCCAATTTACTTATGACATTCTTCTTTTCATGCACTCGTTTTCAGTATTTGAATTATGTTCTTCTCCTCCACCACGGCGAATTGTGCTTTTCCCATAAAGGAGGCTTCAAAAGCAGTTCTTGATTGATAATAAGGTGGTTAGCGTCACTGCAGCAACTGCATAATTCCCCAATGCTGTAGACAGCGAGCTGTTTCGGCCATAAAAGGCCTCATGAGTACAGCTACGAGCTTTTAAAGCCGTGTTCCCAGCCATGGCGCAAAGGTGGCACCATGGGCGTTTTGAAGACAACTCGTTGCTCCATGATCCAGCGCCAGAGTGCTCAAACTAGGAAAGGCAGCGAGCGATGCATAATGCAGCAGCACTAAAGCAGCCTACCGAGAGTGCTCACCAAGACAAATATGGAGGAGCGAGATACCCTATGCTGTAGACAGGAGGCTTTTCTAACATTGATAGTCCATATTTGCTTCTTTCTTCTTTTCCTTTTCTTTTTGACTTCTTACTCTTTTCCATGTTAGCCGTGGTTGGCTATAAAAACCCTGCAGTCGCCAAGCAAAGTGGTCATTGGCTACCCCAGCCATGTATTGCTTGGAATAAAATAAATCAATAAAATTAATTGTTGCCTGCGAAAGCATGAAACTTTCAGTAGCAGCAAACAAGCCTTGATTGACCTTGTTGTTCCGTTCTAACAGATATTATATTATTATTTTTTCTAAAACTTGTGACATACACCCATGACAAAGGCTAGACTTGCAAGCCTGCACACTGGTGACTGGTCACGTTCCATCAGAATTCCGGTCGGCAGCCATCATCAGGAATCAGGATTGAGGGAATGACGTTTGCGGTGAACTTTGCTTAAAGTACACCTCACATTAGACTCGAAGCAGTCCATTATACTGTGTATTTCATAGTGCATTTTGAAAGCTCAAGGTACATGTGCAATCATGGTATTAGATAGATGTTACAACAACAAGAAGTCTACAAGTAAGGCAATTCCGACCCTAGGGCCTAGCATACAGAGGGTCAGAACCGGGGCTAACACCCATACGGTTCAGATGGTCGCAAGACCGGGGCTCTACCAACCGTGAATGGTTATAGAAAGGTGACTGTTTCAGAACACGGTGGTCCTGCACCTTGTGATATGCTCTCAACCAACAATATGTACTGCGTAATGCACAGACAGAAGAACGAGCCGTTGTTTTTTCGTAACTCTGAGGTTCACGAACTGAATCGATCATCATTTTCGTCTGATGATCGATTCAGTTCGTGAAACTCGGAGTTACGAAAAAACAACTGCTCGTTCTTCTGTCTGTGCATTCCGCAGAGCACCTCAAATTATTTTCAAAATAATAATTACAATATCTACTATTTCGTCGTCTTCACTTGATCGCTATCAGTATTGCTTTTCCCCACGGTCTTGTCAGCTACCAACAAGCAGCAGAGTTCATGAGGCTTCGTCTTGGGAGACAAACCAAAGAAAGTGTGTGACAATCCGCATTCGCCTCAGTCAAACCCAAAAGTGGATCAAAACCTGGAGAGGCGACGAACAAACGACTATAATAACTACCGGTACTTCGCGTTCGGTGTTCCGTTCACAGTGCACTGGTTCATGCTGCATGCAGCGCTGCTGATCACCCGAAAAGTGTGGTCTATACAGGATATTGCACAGTGTCCGCGAGGATTATTTTTCATAATCCCCGCGGCGCTGCGCGCCTTGGGGATTTGAAAAAATTAATAATCCCCTCGGAACCGTGCAATATCCTATACGTAATATACATATGTGCATGTATATGACCGTTTATTTATTATTATTATTATTATTATTATTAAATTTTGAATAAGGCAGTCCCACAGGCCTAGGGCCTTTTTACAGGGTACCCTATGAATTGTTGAATAGATGAACGGAAGTTTCTGAGCAAGGAGATTGTGCGAATATCAGCAGGAAGCGCGTTCCAACGATCGGAACCAAGAAAGCTAAGCGAGTATAAACCATAGCGGCGAGAAGCTAAAGAAAGACTAAGTGACAAAGTGGACTGAGAGCGTGTATGGGCTGAGGTTTGTGAAGTGGCAGTGCGAGGGAGGAAGCAGGTCGAGAGCAGTGGACTGCATAGCTTATGGAGGGCTCGAAACACCAGTACAAACAGGCGAAATTGATATCTAAGGGAAATAGCAGCGAGATAGTTCCTAGCTAGAACAAGAGAAGCATCGTAGTACTTCGGGTAGCCAAAGACAATCCGAACAGCACGGTTAGATATACGAGTAATGCGGTCCATTTGCGAGACTTGGAGGCTGTGCGCAAATGCATTAGAGCCGTATTCAAGTTGGGCCTGAATGAAGGAACAGTAGAAGACTCGTTTGGCAGCAGGTGTTAGATTGTGTTTGATTTTCCTGAACACAGTAAGTTTAGTGCCTATCTTGCGTTCCAGGAGCGTGATGTGATCTCGGTACGTAAGATGCTCGTCGAACAGGAGGCCGAGGTATTTGATCGTGGCTGAAGGCGGTATGCTAGTGCTATCAATTGACAATTGGAGATTAGCTGGGACAGCCTTGGACTTTGGGCGGAATATGATGAACTGTGTCTTTTCCGCGTTGAGTTTAAGGCCGTGGTCCCGGAGGAAGTTGCGGATTGACAGAACGTCTCTGGCCAAGTCTGCAGTGAGCTTCTGTGGATCCCTTCCGGATTTGTAGACAGAAACATCGTCAGCAAACTGACGGACCTTGGTACTAGCAACACACTCTGGCAGTTTGCGGACAGCAATATTGAACAAGACAGGTCCAAGGATAGATCCTTGAGGTACACCTCTGGAGGCAGAATAACAGGCACCTCTGCTAGACTTGGTGACAACTCTCTGCTGGCGGTCAGTAAGGTATGATGCAAACCAACGCAGTGCAACCCCTCCCACACCAATCTCGAACAGTTCTTGGAGGAGCAAACTGTGGTTGACAGTGTCGAACGCTTTGGACATGTCGAGGAAAGCCGCAGCCACATACTCGTTCTGGTCTAGACTTTGACTCCAATCATTTGCCACCAGAGCGAGAAGATCGTCGCAGGAGTGGTTTTTGCGGTACGCAAACTGAACTGCAGGGAGGGATTCCATGTGACTGGCGCCATCCATGTATTGCGTAAGTTGCTCTAGCGCACACCTCTCGAGAAGTTTGGACATGAGAGGAAGGAGGGAGATGGGTCTGTAGTTGCGAGGGTCGGAAACGTCCCCACGTTTGTGGATCGGACGGACGTGTGCTAGCTTGTAGGGCGTTGGGAATTCACCAGTTTCAAGGGATATCGACAAGAGAGAGGCTAGCGTTGGTGCAATTTGGTCAGACACAAGTTTGTAGACGAGCGGGGGGATGGCGTCAGGACCGCTTGCTTTGCGACTGTCCATAGCACGGAGATGGAACTTAACGTCCCCCGCTGTGATCCGGGTAAAAGAAACTAGAGTGCCGTCTGACTGGGGGCCACACGGCAGAGCAGGCGGAATGTTGGATGGATGATCAGGCACGGATGCCAGCGTCAGGGCGTCAGAAGTCTCTGTTGGCGGCAAAGGCCCAACTATTTCTGAGAATATAGATGTAATGTCTGCAATACTAGCTCCAGGCTCACGGCTGACTTTCGTTCTGCCAAGTAGGCTGTTCATAGCGCTCCACTGACGTCTAGGGTTCCGTCTGTTGTTAATAAACTCGGCCTGAAAGTAATTGGCTTTCTTTCGGCGCATGGTGATTTTGCACTCTCGCCGAAGCGCTCGGAACGACTGGATTCGTTGCTGGTCACCCGGCTGTTTCAGCAGGAGTCTATGAGCTCGTTTTCTGCGGTAGAGCAGTTTACGTAGCTCGTCGTCGACCCATGGTGCGGGTTTATACTTGGTGGAAAAGGTAACTATCCTCACGGGGCAATGATGATCAAGTGCTTCGGTGACGGAGCCCTGAAAAAGTTCAATATTGTTTAGCAGCTGCAATCAGTGGGTTGTGTACACTGCACTGCAGTCATGTACATCAGTCATGTTACTCATGTAGCTGCATTGGCATGCTACAGCACATGCCAGCGTGAGCATGTACGTGTATACAAGACTCCTAGCCCACACAATTCCCCAATGATCGCCGAAGTCGCACCAACCTCCTCTTCACATTGTGTTCACGGAGTCACGAGGTGCTGGAAACGGAGCGTCTCTGTAAATTTGTATCCCTGGTGGTGTTTGTGCCTGCAGACTCAGAGCCATAATATATAAGTGGTGCTCTTACGCAAGAGGTACACAAAAGGAAGTATATAGGGCTGCTTTTTGTTGTAACTCAGAGTTTCATGGCAAAACCCAATCATCAGACAACATAAGGCGATTAGAAAAACGCAGGCACATGTATATGAAGGCAAGCAGAGGAGATAGAATAATTCAGTGCAGACAATATGATAATCATTCAACACCTCCTAGAGGCAGTACGCTCTGACGTGCCAGAATCAACATCTCAGGTGCTGGGTGAAACATGAACACGCACACTCATCCACACACACACACACACACACACACTAATCCACACACAGCCTCTCGTTCTCACACACTCCACACTCCCGCATTATCACACCTAAACACACACGCACGCACACACACACACACACACACACACACACGCACCAAACACACACACGCACCAAACACACACATGCACCACACACACACACACATACACACAGCCTCTCGTTCTCACACAGCCTCTCGTTCTCACACACTCCACACTCCCGCATTATCGCACCTAAACACACACACACGCACGCACACACACACACACACACACACACACACACACACACCAAACACACACGCACCAAGTGGTGCTCTTATTAGGCACAATCTTCCTCAGCCTACTCAAGCTCAACTGATGAGGGGTGAATTCCCCGAAACACTGTGTATTGAGCAGGGAGTGGTGCTTTCTTGCAGGTTTGCCGAGTGGAAGGTTTGATGGACTTCTCGTGTGCTCTGGATGGCAGTCGTGAGTCAGTCAAGTGAGAATTCAAGTCGGCAGGAATAGCTCAAGCTCTCACGTAGGGAGCAACACACAATTCCCCAATTATCGCCGAGGTCGCACCAACGTCTTCTTCACAGTGTATTTTTGCTGGTAAATCTACCCTGACATTATTATTATTGTTATAGACAACACCTCATGGCATGAGAAGAAAATCAGCCAGCACGGGAGATGTGGGTGTTAACCAACCATGGTGAATAAAAGAAGAAAACTAATGGTCAAGACGGAGAAGCATGGGAGGGACAGGTGATGACATGTTCTGATACTATGGGAATCACTTACTTGAAGTACAATGATTACACGAAGCAACAGATGAAGGTTGGAAGCATTTTATTGTCATCAATGCAAACGTGTCGCTTTCTTAGAGAACGCCTTATTTGGACTTCTTCGAGGGGCCATAACGCCTCCAAATTGCAAAGTGCCCAAATACATGTACGTGCATACCCTAATACATGTATATTGATTTTCTCATTCTGGACATCCCTAGAATTTCGAAAAAAAGGTGTCAAAACTGGTGAATTGTCGGAAAACGTATTTCGGCATGAGCTACCTTAAACTAACTCTTTATTGAAGCAAGACTTCTATATTAGTAGTATAGTGTAGACTCTACTATACGCAACGCAGGCGTGGTGACTCGGTCTACATTTGGCATAATCTTTAGTCTTTTGGGCTAGGTTGAGTAGTTCTGCGTGGCGCACGCAGACACAAACCATTCCAAAACAGGACGTCGGCGCACATTCTGTCCCGGGCCGGGGGAACTGACAAAGCGAGAGCTAGTAGAGGGATCTGGATATGTCGACAGTTGATTTCACCGCGGCATGTACATCAGGGAGGAACGTCCTCGTGGAGCTGGCACCAGGTTGATAGCATTAGTACCGAGAGTATATAAGCGTTGGTTATAAATTATTATACTCTTGTCAGTACTTGTAGACTCTACGTGCAGCTGCGGAGGACGTGAACGACAAACATCGCCACTCAGTGTGTTGTGGTATCGCTGTTCAAGCCTCAGTCTCAGCCTGGCCAGGGTTCGGAACTTCCATCGACTAGCGACATCAAAGACATCACAACAGTGTTCGTGTCTTATTCTCGGGTAAGCGGAATTGCATGATACATAATTTCTGTGACGGTCTGCATCAAAGTGTGCGGTTCTAAAGAAAAGTCTGAAAATTTAATGTTTATGTTCATTCATTCGGGAAAGAGAACAGTCTAGACTCTAGACTTGACAGCGGAGTGCGGATGACGAAGCTAGGGGCCGGGCATGATGCAAGCGAAAAAGACACAGAGAAGCTGCCTGTATGCTGCAGCGTGCAATCCACACACTTTTCCAATTACGTCATCATTTCAGCAGTTCAGCAGTTGCGTATACAGATGAATGTAGATGTACAGACCGGAGTATGTACTCAGCTTCACTGTGCCTTCCCGTGCATGAAAACACCCATGACCAGTAGGCACCTTCAAAAATTAGCAAAACAATAACTAGGATTTGCACTGAACGCAGTCCTGAATAACAAGAACACAGAAATAGGAACACTTCTCCCCTGCAGTATTGTCACCAGTTCAAGCAAACACCACAGCATGCATGAACGACCAGCACTGGAATAGTTTCCTCACAAGTATATAATTACTATTTCGAATAGCCCGTCAGGTATGCATGTTCCGCACTGCACTGCATCATGCATGATTCATGCTTACTAATATGTGTACGGCTTGTTTTACTGTTTCGCTATGTTCCTATTTGCCTAGTTCACTATGGCTGACGTCAACCCCGTGCAGGACAGCGATTTCGACAAGCTGTTCGAGTTGGAAGCCAACAAGGAGGCAGCGGACGGCTGGTCTCACCATGCCAGCGGCGATGGCTTCGAGACGTGGGTGCGCAGGAGAGACGACGACAGAATGAACATGGTTAAGGTATGTTGTCACTGAGCTGAACACTGTACTCTAGGATCAGATATTTTAACTTCAATTAAAGTTAACGTCCTCCGGAAATTTGTGGGTTAACGAGGTGAAATTCTAACGAATTCTGTCTCAAAACCGGCAATTGACTGTACATGCACATATCTTTTTGCACATAACGACTTCAAATGTTTTAAGTGATTCTTTCAAAATCGTTAACTCGTTAGAATTAAATGTTCCCTAGCATTACTGGTCTTATAGTAGCGTGCAAACTCTGTATAACAAAGCTGAGCAGTGTAGAGTACAAACTCGTTTTCATCAAGCTGAGCAGTGTAGTGTTTAATTTCGTTTTTTAACCAAGCTAAAGATTTAATTAAGGCCGATTCATACTTCATTTCGCGTACGGGAAAGTCATCGCGACAGTCGCGCAATGACCTTCTGGTACGCGAAATAGTTGAGCTCAGATCCAATTTTTCACGACGCGACCCGTTTCCCGTACGCGAAATGAAGTATGAACCAGGCTTTTAAGGTGGTTACTTCAAATGTTGGAGCTCGCGCTCAGCTGACGACTGACTGACACTGCACCGTTTGGAGCAGCCACCTTCTCCTACAATTACAGTCAACTTCGCTTATAACGACACTCGGCGGGGCATCAAAAGGTGTCCTTATTCGCGAAGTGTCGTTATACCCGAAGTCTCATTGTATGTATTACAGTGGGACGGGACTTTGCTCTGGGCATGGAAATTCTGTCGTTATTCGCGAATTGTCGTTATATCCGCAGTCGTTATTAGCGAAGTTGACTGTACCGCCGAAGTCGCAACATCTAAGCTGAAGATTGTAGTGTTTAAATTTGTTGCGTGAATTATGCCCGGATTCAGTAGCTACAAACATACCATTTTCAAAATCGAACTCTCAGTCTGGCCACAGTACTTTAAATTAACTTTATGGATAGAATTCCAAAACTGAGAGAGAAGTATTTGACATTCACCGTTGTATTTCCGGCTCCCCGCGGATACTGGGCATTTGTAGTCTCTCACGCCAGCTGTGCACGTGAGGGTAGACACCATAAACGTAATTCCCTACCTTTTGGTGAACACATCAACCAAATATGGGCAATTCTCTCCTCTTTCTGGCCCTATGCTGGCCCCTTGCTACTTCTTGGCGCTCCATATATGGAAGATCTGTAAGGCTTGGTTTCCTCGGTTATATTTTTGACCCTTTTGGATGTTTCTGCAGATGTACTACCACATAAAAGGTGTGACAAGAGACCAGTGTAAGTGCAGCTACAGTGCATAGAAAGATGGTATCCTAATCTCTTACTATGTGCTTTCATAGCCTTTACTGTGTGCTTCCATAGTCACTTCTAGTCTACTTCTAGGATAAGCTTTTGACATCATTTTTTATGGGTCGTCATCCCGTTTGAATTTGCGAAGTAAAATAAAAACCAACAACAACCTATCCTATGAGAGAGAGAGAGAGGGGGGGGGGGGAGAGACAGCTTATACTCCGGAACTTCAGTAACTGTGATCAAACATCCTATCTCGTTTTCTTTGCTCGTCCAGTATGTGACGTGATGTTCGATCCAGCTCTACGTTTGCGTTTCGATGGCGCATTCAAGGAATATCGCTTCGTCAAGGAATTCCCGGACCACAAGATATTGTACATGTAGGTTTGATATTGTAGTTTGTTTGGTGTAATTATTGTACTTTGTTCGGTGTAATTATTGTACTTTGTTCGGTGTAATTATTGTACTTTGTTTGGTGTGATATTGTACTTTGTTCGGTATGATATTGTAGTTTGCACTGTTTCAATAGGTGCGTTGGTACCGCTTCATAGTCCATTGCAGAAATGTTGGCAAAAGTGGATTTGGAGTTGTTTTGGACTCGGATGGAGAGCCAAGGATAAACTTGTAGGAAAGAAGAAGGCTCAAGGAGCTACGAGTTACATGCTAGAGCTGTTAGCCAGTTAGTTGTAGAACGTCAGTACCGTCAGTCAGTGTTGTGCAATGTTATCGCATGAGCTGATTGTTTAGTAACTGGCGGTGTTAGTGGACATTATAGCGTAACTTGTAGTTCCTTGGTTCTTTTTTCTATGTAAGTGGATTTGTTTCACTTTGTTCACATACCCAGCTCGAAAAGAATAATGAAAGACAATGGTACTGAGACTGGGACAAATCTGACAACTACTGAACAGGGGCTGCACCGAGACGCAGCAGTGATGGTGGGGCATTGACGCCTCTGCCGACCTGAGGTCTCGGCATCACGTCCGACACGAACCAAAAACAAAAATATACAGTTCATTTTTTTGCATCATGTTTAATGAATCCACAGCGGATTTCGACGAAAAATGTATTTTTTCTGCAATAGCACTTATGCCTGTGTTTGGAAATGGACTGGTATGAAATTATTTTTCTTTGTGAATACCATGTTGTTGAAGAGCGTGAAATTCGTACTACTATTGAGTTTAAAATTAGCAATAAATAAGATCAATTGTGAACTCATAAGAACAGCAAAAAATGAAGAAAGTTAAGTTCCATAACGTTTTCTTGGAAGTTTCATCAGTGGAACGCTGTCACATAAAATGTCATAACTAAAACACACACTTCTTATGCATGCAGCTTATAATTATGGTTTCAGGTAGAAATACAGCAGCCAGCAAGTACAAAAAGCGAAGTTTACACATTTCCAGTGTGTGCATATAGTGTATGTGAGAAAGGTAGTGGCAGATGAATGTGATACTGTGTGGATGAACGTGATGGCGCGTGCGTATTACTTGAAGATTGTACTTGTCGCCTGCTGTATTTCTACTACCTGAAAACATAACTAATACTTATAGCTACATGTATTATCAGCGTGTGTTTTAGTTATTACATTTTTATGTGACGGCGTTCCACTGATGAAAGTCATAAAGAAAACGTGATGGAACTTAACTTTCTTAATTTTTTCCTGTTGTAAATAGTGCACAATTGATCTTATTTTATTGCCACTTTACGACTATTGTCTCCTCGTCGACTGTTTAAAGTACTATCGAGTGTCATAGCCTTTTTTTGTCTCCGAGAATATTTGTAATGAGACTTAACCAAGGTTTCCGGTGTCCTCCTGCCCTTGACTCTGTCCCTTCCCAGGCGCTGTCCCATGAATGCTCCGTTCGTGTCGGATCGGGATTTCGTCGTCACTCACACGCGCCGCCGAACTGCCACGGAGGTCGCCGTGATCAATAGGCATATCGAGACAGATCTAGTACCACTGGTGTCCGGCCTTGTGAGGTGAGACATCTAAGGTTATACAGTAAAACCTGTCAAGGCGACCACCTGTCCAAGAGGACCACTGAAACCAGGATCAAGGGATGTTATTTCCACTCAAATGATCCTGGATAAGGAGACAACCTGGTAACAGAGTCCACATTTTGAAGGTCCCTTGAGTGGTCGTCTTAGACAGGTTTCACTGTACCAGGAACATTAGAATGGCAATTAACTGAACTACTACTACAGTAAAACCTGGTATAAGCAACCTCTGTGTTTAGCGACCACCTGCTCTTAACGACCGTTTTTCCACACACAGACACTTTGGAACCTTGTTTTAAAGACCACCTGGCTTTAACGACCGCTTTTGCTTGCACCGTGGGGTGGTCGCTTAAACCAGGTTTTGCTGCACTAGTATCCGGCTATGTTGTGGGCTAACAGTACGTCTTCCTTGCTATATCTCAATGTCTCCCGGGATCCCTGTTTTTAATTGACGCATGATAGTCCATACGATGACTTGTGCGTGTCAATAGGCTGGCGAAAACATTACGTCTGTTTGTCGTATCAGTATGGGTAATTTGAAAGTTAGTTCAGTCTGTCTGTTTGGCTGTTGGTGTGTGTCCACCACACATGTGCACGTTCATATGTGCTTCAATCAGGCTGCGAAGGTTCCACGTATCAATACTCATAGCCTGTTCCCCCTGCCGTCGTCACCACCCGCGGGTTTGCAACACCTCGCTCGCGGGAGCATCTTAGAAATTTTAGAGGAACAACGAGGAGAGTGTCGGAATCAGAAAGTATCCGACTAAGTCTGCTGTTGAGTCCTCTACCTCAGTACACTCAACTGGACGGCTGGGGTAACCTAAGGCCGCCCCAAGCCGTCCAGGGGGGCTAGCAACTGGCAAGAAGCAACCAGAAACTACGGAGATGAAACATTTCAAACCGTCCAAGAAGAACCCTTTGTACGCATGTTCATACGTGCATTATATACACACACACACACACACACACTGTCCTGTCCTGTCCTGAACATTGCCGTTTCCGGTTACATGTCCCCTCGTGTGAGGGGCCGACAGACATGGAGAGTTGGGTTGAGGCGCTGTGTCGCATCAACGACCTAGCGAGATTTCCTAGCCATTTCATTGATCCATTTGTTGCAGTTGTGTAGCTGGAATCCTCGGGTTGACTTGCAACAACGATCGCATTTGCTGCAGTGGGCTCTGCAGCAAGGTAGGGCGAGCCGCTGGCGGGTGTCACAAGATGGTCCAGAAGCGGTGGTTTGGTCGTGCACTGGAGTAGCAGATGGGGGCATATCCAGGCATTTGTGGACGGCCAGTCCGCCAGGGCTGCGAAACCAGCGAAGACATGCGGTGCATTGCCTGCTGCCAGCCTGGTCTGCTACGGGTTTGCGTCGCTCTTCAGTGCACTTGTGGCGTGGCAGGCCTCTCTTCGAGAAGGATCTGTTACAGATACTGCACTGAATCCGTTCACGAGGGGCCGGCTGTGGACACACACACACACACACACACACACACACACACTCACACACACATAAACACATAAACACACGTCTATTTTTTTGTTTCTTTGCAGAGGTGATACCCTGTGTGCAAGCTTCATTGTCCGCGACGCAGAAGGCGATGAAAGTGCAGCTACCATGTGCCAAATTATTCAAGTAGACTACAAGATTAGCATGCCGGCAAGTGTCATCAACTCTAAAATCGCCTCCAATCCCCCTAAATTCGTCAAATGTATTCAAGATTTCATAACAAATGTTTACAAAGCAGAACTGACAGCCGATAATTCCTGAGTGACCAATGAACCAGCTGTTTGTGTTCTCATGGTGACCGACTGTAGACTAGTGCAGTGACCATGGTGATCGTGACTGATCTGGTAGACTCTATAGCGTCTTTTGTTCTCTTCTGCAGTCATGGAGAGAATTTTTCTCTTATCCCACTGTTTAATTTAACTTTTAAAGATAACCGCTTCTTCCCTGTCCGGGAATTCGCCTCCCGTGTACATGTTCTGTACCACCATTTGCTGCTGCTATGTCATTTCATTCTAGCATTGTATTCATTTATTCTACCTTTCTAGTAACCACCAATTCAGTGAGTTTTAACCCTTTCAGCACCACTAAGGACGCGATTGTATAATTCTATTAGGGACCTTTAGCACCACGTTACAACGTCGGCCTTTTGACGTACTTGATCACGTCGATCGGGGTGCGCGATACGTGTTTTGCATACTTGGCTAGCCTTTAGCGAGACGTGATTATGGATCGACGTCGTTGCCACAGGAACAGAGCAGAATGGCGCGCGTGATTTCAAAGTTCCTCGCGGGAAATGTGGAAGAAAAGACTTTTTTTAGTAAACTACTGTACATGTACTTCGAAAATAAGTTGATTTCCTTCAAGGAGAGAGAAAGAGAAAGAGAGAGAAAGAGAAAGAGAGAGAGCGCGTGTGGAGCACCTTATGCATTTTACCTAGTAAGTTGCAACACAGCGTTTCTGGGTTTCTCGGAGAAGATACCGGAAACACAAAACAAAGATAGCAAAGAATAAACTTACGCCTAGCGCCTCTCAATCGATCGTACCTCGTGGGTTACAAAACAAAAACTACAACCAAGAGTTCATAACTGGGGGTTATGAACTCTTGCCCTCTTGGTGCAAAGGCAAATTCCTTCGTCCTGCCACAACGTACAAAAGGCCTTTTCTACGTCGAAAACGTTGCCTGATGAACGTACATCCTGCGTCGCGACGTGACCCCGAACCCGGACAAGGCCCTACGTCAGGCTTACGTCGTAAACAACGTGGTGCTAAAGGTCCCTAATATGTACGTGTACATCAGGGAGTCGTAAAATACCGGTATTTTACGACTCCCTGATGTACATGTACGTTCCAAGTACGCACTACTGTGTATGGATGGCATGTTTTCAAGGAATTTTAACTCTGTCAATTTCGGGCCACTTTTCTTATTGCCAGGAATTGGCCGAATGTTTTAGCCGATTTTTCTGCATCCGGTTCATGACCTTTGACTAATTACCGGTATTACTGAAGCACATGTGCAGTCGCTAGTCACAGCGCATTTTGAATGTGAGACCGTCCGTGCCTGGTGAAGTGGTCGGTAGTACCAGGCTGGTCGCTAGTCACGGTGGTCTTTAGTTACAGGTTTTACTGTAGTACCAGGCTGGTCGCTAGTCACGGTGGTCTTTAGTTACAGGTTTTACTGTAGTACCAGGCTGGTCGCTAGTCACGGTGGTCTTTAGTTACAGGTTTTACTGTAGTACCAGGCTGGTCGCTAGTCACGGTGGTCTTTAGTTGCAGGTTTTACTGTAGTACCAGGCTGGTCGCTAGTCACGGTGGTCTTTAGTTACAGGTTTTACTGTAGTACCAGGCTGGTCGCTAGTCACGGTGGTCTTTACTTGCAGGTTTTACTGTAGTACCAGGCTGGTCGCTAGTCACGGTGGTCTTTAGTTACAGGTTTTACTGTAGTACCAGGCTGGTCGCTAGTCACGGTGGTCTTTAGTTACAGGTTTTACTGTAGTACCAGGCTGGTCGCTAGTCAAGGTGGTCTTTAGTTACAGGTTTTACTGTAGTACCAGGCTGGTCGCTAGTCACGGTGGTCTTTAGTTACAGGTTTTACTGGAGTACCAGGCTGGTCGCTAGTCACGGTGGTCTTTAGTTACAGGTTTTACTGTAGTACCAGGCTGGTCGCTAGTCACGGTGGTCTTTAGTTACAGGTTTTACTGTAGTACCAGGCTGGTCGCTAGTCACGGTGGTCTTTAGTCACAGGTTTTACATGTACATGTATTTTTGAACTAGCAACTGTACACGTACACGTACATGTACATGATTGTATACTCCAAGCATAGCAACCACATCGGCAGATCGCCCCTACTCCCCTTTGTCTTGTTGTCCAGTGTCATTTCAGTTGTCCTCTTCCCCTGATTACTATTAGGGCTGTGTTTGCTAGTAAAAAAATAAAAAAAATAAAAAATAGGCCTTTCTGAGCGAAACTACGCGCGAAATCGCCTGTTTGTGGTGCGACGTTAAATAAACTTCTACAACAACAACAACAAACCCTCATTTTTGTAATGGATTCATCCCACAGCTAGGGTCCAGCGGATAATGCCGGCATTATTGATTGATTGGTTTTATTTTACTTCGCAAGCTCAAACGGGTTCCTGGCCCAGTTATATGAAAGCGAAGGATAGAATTTGCCAAAATCCTAATGAGCATCAGCATAGGCAATATTATCATAGAAGTGGAGTACTAAGCGAGCGAGAATACTGAGCAGAAAAGGAACATGTCACAGTATGAGACTATCCGAGCATCAGAGCTCTGATTCAGAGCATTATGGAGCATCAGAAAGGAACAAGGCGAGAATTATGTGAGGCTTGAGCGGCATAACGAGTTTCATTGTGGATAATGTCGGGAAATGTCAGGTTTTTTGGCAACAATCGGCTAAAGCCATGAGGTGCAACGCCATGTATTGTACCGGCACTTGACGTTGTGATTTTGACATGTGCAACACCTTGAGGCTAGCACTAATGCTACATTTACCTGACTACATGTAATTTCAAATTTGGACTTCACGGAAAATTACAAAGTTTGTAGAACTAAAAACTTTGAAATTCTCCGTGAAGTCCAAATTTGAAATTGACTACATTTGCATACATGTAATGATACATGAAGTCTTGATGTAGAAATGTAGTCAGGTAAATGTACAGGTGATGTTTGTTTATATATTTACGGATTCTCCAGAGGTAAATGGATACCTATCGTGGGAGTCTCACCAAACCAACAAAATAATGAAAATGAAAATATATGATTGTATGGAGTGCAAGAAACTCAAAATCTGAGATTTTCTAAGTCAAAGGAGAGGAAGAACAATAGATTGAGAACCAGGGGTGCTAATAGAACACTGGAAAGGCACTAAAACATAAAATTTAATAACTGCAGTAGTGGATTTAGATTATTGTTCAACACGTGAAACTAGGTATGCCGGAAACTGAGAAGCGGTAAACTTCATAAAGCTTCCTTACCTGGCGATTAAATAGCGTGAGACTATCGAGTGAACGTATATCAGCAGGAAGTTTATTCCAAGCAACAGCGATAAGGGAAAGGACGGATTTAGCGAGTAGCATGCCCAACGTTGCAACTGAGGCACACAAAATCCGTAACGATGATTTACGAAGTTTAACTTGGATGGTGAGCCAATTAAATTATGGTGAAAAAAGGAGGACAAACTGTTACGAGTTATGACTAACTGTCCACCACCGCTGACCATATAAGATCGCTGGCCGTATAAGATCTGGTTACGTTGGCGGACAGTTAGTCATAACTCGTAACAGGTAGTCCTCCTTTTTCACCATGATGATTTACAATGACATTGTGAAGAAGAGGTTGGTGCGACTTCGGCGATAGTAGGGGAAGAGTGTGTTGCTCTCTACATTGGATGATTTACGAGGTCTTTTCTAGAAGTCACGGAGAGCCATGGAGGACACTAGACGTACATTGTACCCGAAGGGAATATCAAAACAGACGAGGAGGAGGTTTCCTGTTATGGCGTAGGCTCTGACCATAGCATCTCCAGGGATACTGAAGTAAACAATGATCCAGTGATAAATTTAGACCTGGATGAAGGATCGGCTATACAAAGAAAGAGCTTGTGCCAAATAACTGCCTTTGCCGAGTCCAACTCAGCAGGCTCGAAAAGTGCAACAATTTCTCATGGATGCAGTACCAAGACGATTTGAGTGCTCAGCAGCGATTGTCTGACTTTCCTGGTGAAGCACGTGCAGTTCGTCGTGGACGATTGTAATGCAAGGCCTACAGTCAAGTGCTATCAGAAAAGAAGGGTATTGAGGCCAACCATTTGTCTCCACGCAACCTCAGGAGAAGAAGACAGCGCAAGCAGAGGATGTAGAGCGTCAAAAATAACTTCTGACCACGTGTTATCAGGATTTCCGCAAATGGGAGCCTGGAGGGATCTCGATCTGAAATCGTCTCCCAGCAACTGGCCTCACGTGAGCTGTTTCAGATGAAGATATTTTTCACAGAGTGGAAGCAGTGACAGCTTGTCTGCAGGCAGGAATACCACTTCCCATGATATGCTTCCAGCATCCAAATGATCAACAGCAATAATGGTTTCACCTCCCACAACATGGATAAGCAAGGGAAAGGATTTGATACACCCACTACGGAGCCACAGCCCTGCATCAAGGTTGCAATGGAGATCAGCCAATGGAGACACGATCATGTCTTATTGTGCTAGGAAGTGGTGGAGCTCGTGGGAGATATTGTAGCAGCTTCAGAGGCAGATCGACTAAATGCATCCTTTCCTGGACGTTTGACAATGTGCAGCCTTCCTTCCATTTTTTGTTCCAAACCAAGAGCATTATAGGATTTATAGCCCTGTTTAAAGCATTATAATCAGCATTACAAGGTAGTTATTGGAGCATTACGAACATCTGACCCTTTTTTTTTTCAGATGAACACCTTACTTTTGGTGCCCACATCGCCCACCTCGAGCTCAAGATTGGAAAGAAGATGGCTGTGTTCAGGAAGATACGACAGCAACTCACGGAACACTTGTTTTTCAGTTTTTTAAGCTATGGTTTTGTACCTACACACTAACATGTATGAGGTGGTTATTGTGGTGGAGCTTGAGCCTGAGTAGGCTGATGAAAAGGCCTTCCCGAAATCCGCATTTTCTTTTAGTAGAAAAGGTTTGCGGAGTCGAAGGTTCGATGGACTTCTCGTGTGCTCTGGATGGCAGTCGAGAGTCAGTCAAGTGTCAAGTAAAGTCGGCGGAATAGCGCGAGCTCCGGTGTGGGGAGCAAACCCTTTCTTAGAAAAAGTTAATAATCAATAATAATAGTAGCCATTACCTACACAACTTGCGGATCCTGGCTCACAAACTGTGCTTGCTCCGCCGTCGCTGGTGGCGGTGGTGGAGGAGGGTGGGCGTGGTGGCCCATCGGGCCTGTTTGTGTCGCCGCCTTTGCTCCTGCCGTCGGTGGTTCCTTCGTCAGTGCCCCCGGCGGCTTTGGCTGGGGTGGTGCCGCTTGCGGTCCCGGTCCCACTGCCTCCTCCTGATCCTCCGCCGTCGGCTCTTGCGGCGGTGGAGCTTGCCAG